CTAAGAGTTGGCATGTCATGGTGCATTAATGGAGAAGATTAATTGTGCATTGAGAAGTGGCTTGAGAAATAGTAGAGAACTTTGTGTATGAACTACTCTAAGAGTAGAGAGAATGAGAAAAATACTAAAAACGGGTTGGTGCTTTGTGATCTCCACCTGCAACTTACGAAAAACGGGTTGGTGTTTTGTGATCTCCACCCAAACGTCGCGAAGAGTGGGTTGGTGCTGTGTGAACTCCACCCGGCCATGCCTCCGGTAAGATGAGGCCATGAAATATAGCAGAAGTTAAGTAAGAGAGCTGTGTGAAAGAGAAAATAGATGAGATGAGAAAAAGTGTAAGGAAAGAATTAAGAGAAAGAGTTACGGGGAAAGTCGAGCAGAGGATTTACTTACTGAGCATTATTTTGTGCTCACCCCATTCTTTTCTTTGTGGTTGCAGGATCTAGGTGAGAACGCGGTTGGATGGGCATCGGCAAGCGAGGAGCAATAGCTACACTGTCCGCTGTTTTAATGGCATTTTTTAAATGATAGTGTTATTTTGTATAAGAATGTTTATATGTAATAAAAGGAAATTTTGGGCCCATTTACTTTTACTGATATAAATGTATTCTACTTGATATCTTTCTATGAGTACCCTAGTATAAAGCAGTCACTACACAATGGAGGTCGCTCTAGATCAGTTGGATTAATCTCGAGGAATGCGAACCCCCCAGGCTTCTTCGTCATCTTTGCGATCTTCGGTGGCATAGTTGTTGCGTGACATAAAGATACATTATCAAATAAAGTTTTCTTTTGTTAATAAAGACTTAGAATTCTTCTGTGTAAGAAATACTTACGAGCTACACCGTCCAAAGATATGTTAGGACTAAAAAATCTATACTTCCAAAGGTTAGCAATAGTTACCATCAGCCTTGTGTCATGACTCTGGTTGCGCAATTGACCAAATGCTTCAATGCGGCTACGATCAACTAGGGCCGATAATCTGGTTGTTTTGTTTCTTGTAAGAAAGAAAAAGATTCGTTGGCCTGATATATTAAGGAAAAGTTAAATTTAAAAGATTAGCAATCTGGAAATTAGAAGAAAAACCTACTCGGCTCCTTAAATTTATAGACTCCATCGTACTCGAAGAAAAAATATTTAATTTCATAAGCCCCAACATTGTTGGGGTAACCAAATATCCCTCCCTCAATCGTTGATCGCTTGGAGAGGTAGTATAAATCTTTGTCTTTACTCCTCTTTAAGTAATGGGCGCATCCGAGTTCCTCTGTTGTTACCTTGCCGAGATTGTGTTCGCCAAATGCTATATACATAGTGATCACTATCATATATACATTTAGCGTCAGCTACAATGGCGCGATCTAGAAGTGGTCGAGGATCAACCTGATGTAAGGGTGAAGGGGTATCCTCACTCCACATTCAAAGATCGCTTTCGAGATCATGGCCAATCCCTCAGGAGGATCCTAAGCAATTTGCGACCTATGTTGGAACACGTTTACGTTGATTGCGTATTGGTCAATTGCTCTTTGGATTTTGGCCTTTGAAATTATTGATCGTATCACCTTTCTGGGACCCACTGAGGTGCCTGGTGGTTGCGAGCTTCCCTCTCCAATTGTTCTCGCCTCAGGATATCCATTGCTCTTAAAGTCTGTAAAGAGGCAACATGTAAGGATGACTCAAACTCCACATAAGTTACCTCGTACGATGACTCAAAAGAGTAAAACAACCTTGGTTCCTCTTCCAAAGCCGCCAAAAACCCTAAAAATTCTTAAAAAAGATTTTCTAAAGATCTGTGCCCTAAGTTTTGACTCTTAAAAGTGTTTCTGTTCAAACACTACTCAAGAATGTTCATCATCTAAGCCTACCAGGCGTTCACACCCACAATTACTATAAAAACTAAGTTTTTTGATAGGAATGAAAAAGAGAAGAAATTTCTTTACCTCTTGATTGTTGGGAACAAATGCTCTGTCGTAGCATTGAGTTCGCATCAACCGAGAAGTGGATGAACTAATCTTTTGAGTGCAAATACACTGTTTTTCTCTCTAAAAGTTTGAGTTATGTGAAAAAACATGGAATGGGCTTTGGGTTTTATAAGGTGGAAGACGATGCTTGGTTTCTTTTATAAGTGACGTTCAGGTAGGAACACATTTCTAGCCATTGATTGTGACCAAGTGTCACTGATCTACGTGAAGAGTAACTTTCACGCTTCATGAAGATCAATCAGTGTTTCTCTTTATTGAAATCGCCAAACACCGACGTGATTATCTCTTCCACATTAAATGTGCCCTCATCCGCATTTAATGCTTCAAAAGAGAATGTCGTTTCAGCATGACTTACATTTAATGCTCATGGCTAGCACTTATTACACAGAGACACGTCTATCAGATAAAGCTTATTTTATTGACCAAGACAGCTGTCAATCACAACGGATAACATCTAAGGAGGTCCTTTGAATAAGACGTTTTTTTCACATGTCAAATTCGAACACCAAGCAAAAATGATTCTTAATTGTTGGCAGCAAAATGTTCTAAGTGCTTTCAGGTTGTGAATGACAGGTAGAGTACGAAACACATTTTTCATAGCACTGATCATGATCTAGCTTAGGTCGCTAGACCTTTGTGAATGATCACGACAGGTCGCTTGTTTAGTTCTCGAGACCCATGTCACAATTTACACTCAGTTTATTGGTTGGGTCAAACTATCAGCCTTATGTTACTTGTAACAATGTAGTTGTTCTCAATTGTTAGTTTGGGTAAACACTCCTTTAGACAAGTCAGACTGTGGCATAATCATGAAGTTCTCAATTAGATTAAATATTTGAACCTTAAGAACTAGGGAGCTTCTATTATGCCTAAAAAATCAGGCATGACGTTAGCCTACATCAGTGAGCATCAATCAAAATTTAGGAAGACTTTGCGTTGTCTAGGAGTTGCCACTTTACTCCATGACAGAAAAAATATCGTTGTCACCAACTTAGCAGATTCAAGTTTTGTTTATGAGTGACTGAGGACTGCACACCTGTTCAAGCCCCAAATAAATTGAGGATATTTCCCAAGTTATCAACCAATGGGAGGCAAGGAAGGACTTGCACGGCACCTACCCACTTGCAGATTTGTGATCGTTACCTTGAATTCCTCTAGTTTAAATAGAGGACTCCTCCTCTTAGTTTCGCGATTCTGATATTGAACCCTCATTTTGATTGTAATCTTTATCTTTAGAGCGAAGATAACATAAGGGAAAGAAACTGACTTGATATTCTCTCTAAATACTCAGTTATTGTACCTCTGTTCGTTGTTTGCTATACGTGGCCTCTTGTAATCTCTCATATATAAAAGAAACAGTGGACGTAAGATTCACTTTAAGCATCTGAACCACTTTAAAAATCATATCTCTGATTTAATGTTCAGTCTTTGTATCTGATTATAATCATTCACGTGTAATTTCTAAGAACGCCTTAACATTTTGCACGTACAAGTCATTGGTGTCAAAATCACGCATTAACACTCTAAAATCTTATTTTTGTACATCAATCAATTCAATGGCTACCTCTCAGGTTCATGATCATCAGAATTTGTTGGTTTCACAATAAAAGATTTTAGAAACCAAGAAGAGAGAGACAGAGAGCTCCACATGTTATAAAATAATCAACTCTTATATTAGTAACAACAAATAATAAATCTATTGAATATAAAAAATAATAGAATTAAATGTCAATAAAATAAAATGACAATACAATAAAATTAACAATATCAACAACATGATCACATGTAGGAGATCCTTCAAAATGATAGACGGTAAAGAATACAATCTTAGGATGAATGTCGAGGCCTATGTAACATACAGTTTCCTTAAAACATATTTGCCTTATTCACTCGGGTGCACAAGGATTTGAGTAGCGTCTGTTTCCCAAGATACAACGACAGATGAATAGTAAGAAAAACATTACTCTTTTATTCTAACGAACTGAATTAAGTCTTAACTTCAACAAAGGAAAACCTTAAAAACTAGAGAGAAAACGAGAGATTGAAATTTTGGTGTGTTTGAAATGAGAGGAAGAACACCTTTTTAAACTACTCAAGGTGGAACAAAACATTGAATTCCACTACCTTTTCACTTTCCAACTCTAAAACCTCCTCTATTAATCCATAACCTTTCATCTTTCAAATTCTCAACTTAACACCACCACTTTCATTCCATTTATTTCATTCAATTTATTAAAATATTCCAACAGTATACACCTTAATCAAGACACTGTGCAGAGTAAAATAATGCAAATTGTTGCATTCAGTGTTCGCTGTCCGCAGATCTAGCCTTATTAAAAGTACATTGAACCACATGTCAGAATTGAATCACTCTCAGTTTCTTTAACATAGTTTACAGAGTTGAAGTCTACTTGTCTGTCTATCTGCCTATATAGTAACTTTTCTCTATTTTCATGTCATAACTTCTATATACTGTAATTAACAATTTAGCCGGTGTTGAAATTGGTTCTAATCCAATTTATCTTCTCTCTATCTCAGTATGCCAAAATTTAATTTGACTACCTTCTTTTTAACCGATCATATAACATTTTTCTTATTAATAAGAGCATTAGTCTATCTATATTAAATAATAAAAACTAGCAATTTACGTCTACTACATATGAGGCAGCGAAATAGACAAGACTTGATAAGGATTTAGCATAGACAACCATATGCGTGATTAATTTTCCACAAGGAGCAGAAAGTAAACCATGATTTAAGTTATACCGTTTTTACCCTAATCTGGCTTCACTTATAAAGTAATTTTCCTCTTCTTTATATATACTTGTTTATTGTGTTATATCTAATATTCCATATTTAGGGGGGACCCCTCTGTTGAGCATGTACTTGCTTCTTCCTTGAAAGTCATTCTAACCATTGAAAAATTTAGAACTATGGAAACACGCTTCTCTGTTGACCAATATTAGCTATAAATAGAATCAATCCATTGAACTGCTTATTTTCGCAAATTAAAGAGTTGAAGTAGAGTTAATTAGCCACATTCTCTTAAAGATGGTGAAGGCTCGAGATTCTGAGAACACATCTAATCTGAAAAGAGGTTCATGGAGTCCTGAAGAAGACCAGAAACTGATAGCTTATATCAGTAAATATGGCATTTGGAATTGGACTGAGATGCCAAAACCTGCTGGTAAGGAACAACGGAAAATTAACCTCATTTGCTATGAATGAGAATTATATAATGCTTAATTAACCTATTTTTTTCTTTCTCCTCTTCTAGGTTTGTTGAGGACTGGGAAGAGTTGTAGACTCCGTTGGATGAATTACCTACGGCCAGATATTAAGCGTGGAAACTTCACTCAAGAAGAAGAAGAAATCATAATCCAGATGCATCAAGAACTAGGAAATCGGTAAGTAGTATATATATATGACATCAAGAACTGGTAAATCTCGGCATTAATTTAGAATTTGTCATTTGTCATTTTGTAAAACATATTATCATTTTTCATTAGCTCTTATCAGGAGGCTGCGTTGATGTGATTATTATTATTTACTGGACAGATGAACATTTTTTTTTTATTATCTAAATTTCTTTCATCAGTAGCCTTTTCTTTTCAATTGTTCTTCCCTTGTTTCCATTACATGTACAGGTTAATTTCAAGCAATTACTTCCGTAAATTGATAAATGTTATTAAAAATACAACAGCGTTAAATAAACTTGAAGAGTAATTGCAATCTGCTAGCTAGGTTTTGTAAGTTCGTTGCAATAATTTAGGAATATTTTCCACACAATATAAATCCCATTTAAGAGTATTTTCTCAAACTGAAACTGCTAACTCATGAAATAGCAAGCATGCAATTATTTTGCGAAAATAAAAAGGTTTTACTGTTTTTTATTTTGATTTTGGTCGGATGTACCAAAAAAATAAAAAATAAAATAATTAAATCAAATTGTGAGATTCTTAGTGAAAAGAATTTGAAGAAAAGTTTACAAAAGATCTTACTGATTTTGATTTAATGTTTAACACTTCGAAAAAAAAAAAAAAAAAGAGGTTGAGAATTGAGAATCATTCATGGTTGTGGATAATTGATGCTTTGAAGAATTTACTTATTTTGTGAAATTTCCAAAACTAAGATTATATGGAATGCATTGCAATAATTTCTTAGGGCATTTTTATACCTTAGTAACATGTGTCTTATCTCTTATATCTATATCAGGTGGTCCACCATTGCAGCAAGACTTCCAGGAAGAACAGACAATGAGATTAAAAATTACTGGCACACCCGCTTGAGTAAGAAATGCTATCAAGAAATACAAGCCGCCATCGAAGACAACCAGAATAATCCACCTGGAGTCGATTCCTTACTTCCCAGTACTCCAGAAGCATCAAACATGGATGGCTATAAGGAGTCTCCAATATCCTCAGAGCTATCTATTGATGATTATTCTTCATCAAGCCCCCCTGATCCCGCTGGTGAAATTTATGAAAACCAGACCATAAAAGAGAACATAGGTTCATCTAATACATATAGAGATCTCCAAAGTTTATTGGAGCAGTACTCATTTCCAATGGAAAATCTGTACAAGGTGGATGGCTGTGGGGCTACAGCTCAAGGAGGGTTATCAAAGGAAGAACTACAAATTATTTTTGAGCTGCCATTTCCAATGGAGGGTTCAGACATGATGGAAGGTTATGGGGCCATTCCATACCATGGAATTGAAGTATCAAATTCTCAGTGCGGGCTTCAAGAAGGTCCATATCTATTTTCTTCCAACTATGAAGGTGGCAATGATTTCTGGCCCTAATGGAAGCAAATGATGATGGGATCTAACAGTGTCTGTTTGCTCTTAATTTGTTTCTCCTCTTCGTATATCGTAGTTATTATATATATTATATAATGAGTACCTAGGCCCAGAGGCATCCTGCTATTTGTTTCGAGTATTATGAATATTATCGAGTGAAGCGGCCTTACAGCTTGTGAAAAAAAACAAAAAAAATTAAAAACGATGATGTCAATGTTTTTGTTTGTAAGCAACTTACATAGGAAAAACTCTTTTTTATTTTTAATATTCTTGAAAGAAAATTATTTAATGTTTGCAATAGAAAAACATTTAATTTGTCAAATATTATTTGATTACTGTCAACATATTGCATTCTTATTGGTGATTAGATTGGATAAAGCCCAGATGTCATTATAAAACTGCATAAATATGCTCACTTAGCGTATACTATCAGCACATTCCATGCCTCCACCCCACACGTTCTCCATAATAAAATAAGTGAAAAGCAAGCCAAAATAAATTACTCCTGGCATTAGTCTGGAGGTGAGAACTTTTTATTGGAGGGATTAACTAACTTTAAGGCAAATATTAATGAATTTTGAAAATCTAGTATTATCTATATTATAAATCTGGAAAGCCAAAGCTAAATGTAACAAATTGTGTGAAGTTAGATACACATTTAAAAGTATACTAGAGTTAGATATATCCTAAGCAACTTATATAAATAGTCTTGTAATCAGGATCGTCTCAAGAATATTTACGATCCTAGACTAGAGTTACTTTGTAATTGTATAAAAGAATAAAAAATAACGGTCACAAGCCTAACTCTTGGACAGGACCAAGAGCCGCGCTACACAAAAATAACAAAAGGATGGATCACCAAATCACCAATCCTTAAGCACAAAAACAAAGCAACCTGACAAACAAAAAAACATCCCAGGCTGCTGCAAAAAAAAGACAACCAGACCCTATACAGGTCCGCAAACACCAAACAAGAAGCACAATATACAGCTGCTGCCCAATCAACTAAAATACCAGCCTGTAGAATCCACCAAGAGAGGTCGGCGGCGGATTTCTCTTTGAAATTTCAGTGTCAAACATTTTATAATTTCAATATCAAACTTCCGGTTTACCGCTTATAAAAATCCGAACTTATATATCTATATAATATATATATAGATATATATATTATATATAATAATATATATATATATATATCAAAATTTCCTTATAGTGACATTTTATATAAGAATAACCTTCATATAGTCATAAAAAATTTTAGTCTCAACTTAGGTCAATTATAAATAAGAATAAATTTTATATTGTAATAAGTTATAATTTTTCTAATTCCCATCTTAAGGAACTTGCTTCTATATAGTAATAATTGTATGTATATTATAATAAAATATATGTTATGTTACATTAAATGTTTAAGATGAAATAAAATATTTATCTAAAGTTGTTTAAGACAATAATTTATACTTCAGAGTTGTTACCATATTTTTTATCTTGTAGGGACATAATAAGTCACAAACATGGACACTTTCTCGTTAAAACCAAAATATTTCTAACTGCATGTTTGGAGTTGGCATGAAACTTTTGATATTTCCGTACTATATTCATCTTCATGATTATCTCCTTTCTAATTCTTTTCTAATTCTGGATGATTTTTTTTTCACTTAAAATATACACGACTTGTTGCTCATTTGGATGATTAAGAAAGATATTATTATCCATTTGATTAGTGTAGTGAAGTTATTAAATCTGATTACTCAATTTTGTAATGACTCTTTGATGTTCCATACTATCCTAATACTACTAAAACAATGAATTGAAATTCTAATACAATTAAAACATGAATTATAAAATAATAATTCTTGTATTTACATCTCTATTAAGTTATAATCTTTTCATAATAATAAATTTAGTTAGTCCCAATATCATGATTATAAAGAGATTCTACTATATATTGATTTATGATTTAAATTTCTGGTAAACTAAAATATTCAAGCTACTGGGTAACAGAACATGTTCTGTCTTCTTCGATTTTCTATTCCTCTACAAACCACACAACAACTACTAATTATAGTTAATTTAAAAATGATTTTTTTTACTAATAATAATAATAATATTATTATTATTATTATTATTATTATATACTTGCTACCAACTATCAACCATGTTGACGTCGCCAGCCATCAACATAGTGCTAAATATAATATATGATGTGGTTGAAGGATTCGATATTTATATATTTTTTTTTCTAATAATTATAATAGACTTAGATATATCCTAAGCAATCTATGTAATCAAATCAATACCTTTTCTCCAATCGTCTATACAATGTTTCGGTCAATTATACAAATTACTACCGTTTTTTCCTCGTAGTGTCAAAACTTGTCTATGCAAGAGTGGAATTAATATAGCTCCATTGGTCTATCAATATAACATTAGGTAAAGACTAAACATTAGTAGGAGTTTTTGATACCAATATGAATTTGCCAAACGAATTGCTATACAATTACAAATAGTATAATCAATATTAAGATGTCAATCAAACATGAAAAGAGAAATATTTATATACTTAAAGTATTCATTTTCACAACCTGATCCGACACAAAAGGGTTGTGTTAGGTTAGGTCATTTTTCTAAACTCGACTTTTGTCCGGTTAGGATTTGCCTAACCTAATAACCAGAAGCTGAAAGTGCACACCGCTAATATCATGTATCAATTATTTTTTCTATCCTAATTGGCAGAATTTCTTATTACTTTTAATGTGATAAAATTTTATTGGCTTGGTGTATAGATGATAAAGTGCACATGGAAGACTCTCGCAATTGTTATTGTCACCACTAATTAATGACATTTGATGTTACATAAAACCTAAATTATTAAAAAGATAAGAAAAAATAATAGAAATTATATTAATTTAAATTGATGCCCTACATCACGGAGAAAGATATAAACAGATGACGTGGAACAAAAAAAATTAGCTTAAAGATGAGATGGTAGCTAAATGCCGAAGAATCTTACATAAATTATTTCTCACAAATTATTTCATTTTAATAATCTAAATGTGTTGTCCTTCGCATTCTTTTTGTTGCTAACAATAAAATTGTACGTACAGTAATAATACCATTCAATCCTCTCTTCAGGAGAAAACGAATGCATACCAGGTTGAAAGTTATCATATAATTACAATGGAACGAAGAATAGACTTTGACCTGAGTTTTCAGTTCTCGTTAAATCATTGCTAAATTTCTATGTTTGAATTTCAACATGTGATATGCAACTCTTTTTACCTTATTAAATTATATATGTTTTGTATCTTCCTGCTTCCTGGAAAGTTACAAGTTAGCCCGGCCTCAATAATTCAAGTAACTGTCACAAAATCTTTTTCTTTCAAATTTTATTTTAATTGTATAAAAGAATAAAAAATAACTGTCACAAGCCTAACTTTGGACAGGACCAAGAGCCGCGCTACACAAAAATAACAAAAGGATGGAGCACCAAATCACCAATCCTTAAGCACAAAAACAGGGCTACCTGACAAACAAAAAAACATCCCAGGCTGCTGCTGCAAAAAAGAAAAAAAAAAAAAACAAGACAACCAGACCCTATACAGGGGCAGCAAACACCAAAGCAGAAGCACAATATACAGCTGCGGCCCAATTAACTACAATACCAGCCTGCAGAACCCATCAAGAGAGGTCGGCGGCGGATTTCTCTAAAACCTCAATGTCAAACATTTTATAATTTCAATGTCAAACTTACGGTTTATCGTCATTAGAAATATGAAATTATATATATATATATATTGACACTCTATATATAAATTACCTTTATGTAGTCATAAAAAAATTTATTCCCAACTTTAACCAGTTATAAATAAAAATAATTTTTAATAAGTTATAGTTTTTCTAGGTCTTATCATAAGAAACTTGCCTCTACATAATAATAATTGTATGTATATTATAATAAAATATATGTTATGTTACATTAAACGTTTAAGATGAAATAAAACATTTATCTAAAATTGTTGAAGACAGTGATTTATATTTTAGAGTTGTTATCATATTTTTATCTTGCAGGTACGTAATAAGTCGACAACATGGACATCTTCTTGTTGAAGCCAAAATTTTTCTAACGGCATGCTTGGAGCTTTTTCGTATAAAACTTTTGGTATTTCCATACTATATTTATCCTCAGGATTATCTCCTTCCTCTTCTTTTCTAATTTTAGATGATTTATTCTTCAGTTAAAATATGCACGACTTGTTGCTTATTTGGATGATTAAGGAAGATATTAATATCCATTTGATTAGTATAATAAAGTTGTCGAATCTGATCACTTAATTTTGTAATGACTCTTTGATATTCCTTACTATCATAATAATACTTAAACAATAAATTGAAATCCTAATACTACTAAAACAATGAATTGAAATCCTAATACTACTAAAACATGAATTATAAAATAAACAATCAAAACAATAATTCTTGTATTTACACCTCTATTAAATTATAACCTCCTTATAGTAATACATTTAGTTGGTCTGAACTTTATAATTATAAAGAGGTTCTACTATATATATAATATATAATATATATATATATATATTATTGATTTATATTTAAATTTCTGGTAAACTAAATATTCAGCCGCTGGGTACAGAACTTGTTGGTCTTCTTCAATTTTTCTATTCCTCTACAAACCACACAACAACTACTAATTATAGTTAATTTAAAAATGATTTTTTTTACTAATAATAATAATAATATTATTATTATTATTATTATTATTATATACTTGCTACCAACTATCAACCATGTTGACGTCGCCAGCCATCAACATAGTGCTAAATATAATATATGATGTGGTTGAAGGATTCGATATTTATATATTTTTTTTTCTAATTTTATTACTAGATTTGCATTGCAGCGTTGTGGGTAGTTGAATTCATTTAGTATCAAACATTTTTGACAAAGTCCCAAGCGTGCAGCATATATTATATAATTGCCAT